CCGGGGCACGAACCCGTGCCCCGGTCCAGGAAGATCCCACATGCCGCGGAGTGGCTGGGCCCTGTGAGCCATGGCTGCTGAGCCTGCGCGTCCGGAGCCTGTGCTCCGCAACGGGAGAGGCCACAACAGTGAGAGGCCCGCGTACCGCAAAAAAAAAAAAGACAAGCAAGTAGCAGGTGCTCGCTTAATGTCAACTGAACAGAAGGGTCCAGGGTAAGAGTGGAGGGTTGACAAGGGAAGCAGAGCCTGGAAAAGGAAGGGGAAGGGGGCAAACATTAGTGCCCCTGCCAGAGCTCACACCATCCTCACCGTGGACCCAAGAGGTAGATGATGGGATTCTCAGGTGACAGACGAGGATACAGCCTGGAAAGGAAAGCCCCTTGGCCAGACTCACAGGTTCCAGGAAGGAGTAGAGAAGGAGGCCCATCTGCCCCCAAAGTCCACACCTTCCCCACCCACCCAGGGAGTGCTCTACAGAAGTCCAGTGGGGGCATGTAAAGGGCCTCTGGAAGCCTCCCCCTTGAAAAACTACCTTCTTCCACTAGACGCCTGAAAGTCCACCATAAGCAGGCTGCTCCCTTCTGACTCCTGACTTTTGAACTGTGTGAATTCACTTATCAGATTCATTTCCTCCTAATCTGTTCCAGCAAACATTTAATATGTGAGAAAGGTGTATGTGTGGTAGGGACTCTGAAATATTATTTTGTTTTACACAGGGGAAGGGGGAGAGCTAAAAAGAGGAAGGGGTCCCATGCCTGCCCTTACTAGCTCAGCTGGTAAGAGAAGCCCAGTGGCCGAAGTGGCACAGTTACTGTGCCTCATGGAGGCCACCAAGTGCTCCTCAGTTTCTGAGGAGGATGGGGCCTCCCTCCAGGAGGCGGGTCCTGGGTCTGGGCAGAGCGTGATGAATGGCTGGAGTGAGGGGTCCCGGGCTGCGCCTCAGCCAGGGCTGGGCTCTGGGGCCAAGACATGAGCTCCCTGACTGCCGTGGCTGCGGCCAGGCAAAGTAAGTTGGTCCTCTGCCCTCGGCTCACCTCCAGTCTTGCTGCACCACAACTCTGGCCATTTGGGACAAAGATGAGGGAGGGCTCGCGGGGGGCGCGGGGGGCGGCGGTGTAAGCCCCAGTGACTAGGCGCTGGGGTCTTTCGGGGTCACGGTGGACTCGGAACGGCGTAAACGCCCCTTCCTCTACGAAACCTTCCACACTTGCCCGGCCAGAAGGCGGGCTCTCCGCTTTGTATTACGGCCCGGAGAGGCCCGGCCTGCCCGCCCACCGGCCCGCGCGTTCCTGCGGCCCCGCGTGCCTTTCCGAACGGTGCCGGCGACCAGCAAATACCTCCCTCTGGGCTGAACCACGAATTGCTCAGCCAGGCGTTTGGGACCCGGGGCCGCCTGGGCCCGGGCCCGGTTCAACAAGTGTGGGCCGGGCCGCCCAGTCCCGCCCGACGGCTTCACGCCTCCCCAGGCGCCCGGGGCGCGCCGGGCCGGGCCCAGTCGGGCGAGTTTCACTTCATCGCCCTTAGAGCGTGCGAGCGCCGAATAACATTGCCCCTTCCCCTCCCTCCCCTCCTCTGCTCCCTTCGAAACTCCGAAACTCCGGTTGGCGAACGCTAGCACTCCGGCGGGGAGGTCCCCGGCGGGCAGCGGCTGGGCCGGCTGGGCAGCCGTGTGCTGGGGGCCCTGCGCCCGCCCCCTCCCGGCCACCCCGCCCAGCCCGCGAGGCCACCTCACCGGCAGCGGAATAGAAACCGGTTCGACAGGTAACAAATAGGTGGGTTGTCACCGTTATTTCCCAACGCATGCGCCGTCGCTCCCCGGGCCACTCCAAGCTAATTAGCTCAGATCAGCTCCCCCCCCTCCCCGCCCCAGCCACCAACACACGCCGCTGCGAGCCAATAAAGCGTGAACCCGTCCGTCCTGCTCGCACTTTAAGACTTCCCGAGCGGACGCGAGGGACGCCAGTCGCGCCGGGAGGAGCATACCTGCCGCTTCCCCCGCCGCCCGGTGCATCTGGCTGAAGGGGACCTCGTTCAGACGGAGGACGGCGACAGCTCCGCGGAGTTGAAACGGGCGCGCGCCGTCCCGGGCACGGCCTCCCGGCGCAACGCGGGACGCTTTGGCGACTTCTTCTCCGACCTGCTCCCCCACCCCCACCCCCGCCCGCCTCCAGCCCGGCCAGGGAAAGGTGGGACGGCTCCGGCTCTAGTTACGGAAGCGGCCGGTACCCGGCGAGGAGGGTTCGAAAATGCCTCGTGCGTTTCTAGTGAAGAAGACGTGCGTCTCCACGTGCAGGAGGAACTGGAGCGAGCTCCCCGACGAGGAGCGCGGAGAGATCTATGTGCCAGGTGAGGCGCCCAGTCCGCGCGCCCCGAACCCCGCGCCGCCGAGAGGGCGGCGGGGGCCCGTCGAGCGGCCGGCGTGCGGGGCGCAGTGGCGCGGAGCCCGGCGGCCGGCGCAGCTGGGGCGCCCGATTTAATGTTTAAGCGGCCGCTGCCCCGTTAGCCCGCGGCGCGGCCGACCCCGGGCGCGGGGGGAGGGGAAGGCAGGGCCGGCGGAAGGAGCGGCCAGGCGGGGGCGGGGGTGGGCGCGGGGGCTGCCAGGTGGGGGCGGACAGCCGTTCCCAGGACCCCGGCGGGGCGGGGGGCAGGCCTGTCCGAGGCGCGCGGGCCCGCGCGGTGCCGCTCTGCCTTCCACCGGTCCGAGCCGCGGCGCAGGGGAGGCAACGGGGTGTGTCACCGCTCAGGCAACCCTCCACTCTCGTGCAGTAAATCCCGAAAGCCGGGACTTTTATGAGGCGGGAGGAGGGCACTGGAGCGGTGCCACTTAGGGGGGCAGGGAGCGAGCTGGAGTTTCTGCTGAGATTTGTGTAAATGTAAGAGAAGACCCAGAGTTGAAGCCACCTTCATTGATCTCTCCCTCTCACCCACAACACTGGCTTCCAGAAGGTCCCCGTGAGGGTCGGGCAGGCAGGAGCTCCGAGCCGTGGGGAGCGCGAGACTGTGGGGAAGGCGCCGAGCTGCACCCCACTAGTCCGGAAGACAAAGGTGGGATCAGCTCTCACCTCTGTTAGAAACGCGCCTCCTTCGACCTTGCAGAGGACGCCACTGAGCTGAGAGGGGTTTTAAGGAGCCCGCCCCGCAGCCAGGGAGCAGCCCCGGGGGAAGCTGGGGCACCCAGTTTATTTTCGGAAGACGCCTTGACAGCGTGGGAGTCAACTTTGGATGAGTAACCCCAGTTGTTTCTTCCTCCAGGGGCATCTTCCACGTTAGCCCCGAGACCTCTTCTGCGCCTTCGGTCCTCCCCCACCCCTAACAGAATCTTTGGTCGGGAGCCAGTTTCCTTCGGAACTCCCCTTCCCCAAGCCTTGGGGGTGGGGCGCGGGATGCGCTGAACACCCTGCCCAGCGCCTCCAACGGGGGAGAGGTTGTAATTAACCAACCGACTTTGACCTTTGATCTGCAGGTTCCCCTGCATCGCCCCGGGCCCTGTAGGAGAGTGGTGAAATAAGGGCGGTGAGGGGCCCTGTGAGGGCTCTTGCCTCGGTTTCTGTCCTGAATAAATTGTTGGAGACTGTGGGTGTAGTGGTGGCCTGACAACCGTCAGGATCCTATGGCCTACAGGGCTGGTGGGGTGTTTCACAGCTTAGCCTTATCTCAAGTGCCGAGGCCCCTACCTACAGCCTCCTTAAAAGGTCGGAATGCACCAGTAGTCCTGATGACCCCAATGGGGAAACTGAGACAGAAAGGGAAGTGCGCTGCCTCCACACCTGGAGGCGGATCAGGGTGTGGGCCCAGGATTCTGTGTATAGTTTCTTGCTTCTCCAAGTTCCCTGGGGAGTTGGTCGGTGTTCCACCTCCAGAAGGGCCATGTGAGGGGGTGAGGGACGCGAGCCCCCTTCCTTGCTCCTGCCTCCTCCCTCACCTGTGTCTGACTTGCTGCTTAGCTGCTCCTTGGGATCTGATAAACCGAACTTGGACTGTGTTAAAGGTGAGCGGAGCCTTGCTCGAGACTAGTGTGCTGTTATTTTTAGTTTTATTTCACATCCCAATCAGTAACAGATCATGTGTTGACTTTTACAAAGGACAAAGGAATTCCGTTTGTTCAAATCATTGACTTCCTTGCATCCTAGTGATTTTCCCCAGCACAGTTCTGGTGGCCACAGTGGGAGTGGCGGGGGAGACCTGCACCCAGGGGCTGTCCCATTAGGTGCACAGGATGGTCTGTACCGTCTGCCGCTGCTGTCCAGGTGAGGGGAGCCGCTCACTCTGCAGGATCATCCCGGATGTAGGATGGGGTCTAACCTGGAGGTGCAGGTGACAGTTTGCCAGGGAGAGTCCTGTGGGCTCAAGCAAACAGTAGAAGTCAGAGAGCTTACTTTTGCCTCTCAAAGCCATGTGGCCCACTAGAGAGTTTTCCCACAGTTTTTGGAAATGAGAAAGGGAATGTTCTCGGGCCACGCTCAGGTGCCTCAGATGGCTAGAGGGTGGGGAGTGTGTTTTGTGGTGGCCTGTCCCCTGACTGGGCCATTCCATCACCAGCCGACCGTGACCCTAAGAGCCGGCTGGGCACGTTTCCTTCACCCCACCTCACAGACTCAGCACGTTGTGACCAAGTAAGCATTGACCCCATCCGGTCCCACTGGGAGAGGCACCGGGAGGGCTGGGGAATGAAGCGTTTGAGGTCTGACCTTCCCGCCAGGGCCCTCTGAGACCCTTAGAGCAGCAAAGAATGCCTGGAAAGGAAGTGTTTACAGACTGAAGACCCTGGGCCCCGGCCTGGCAGCTCTGACTCCAGGGCCCCAGTCTGACCAGCACTCCAGCCTCTTCTCTGAGGCACAATTCTAGAGGTTTCCCACCCTCAGTCCCCTGGGCCTCACTCTCCTCCCAAAGCTGAGGGAAAAGCCCAGAAGTGGGTACAGGGCCTGGAAGGCTGCAGGGGTGGGCAACGGCACCACTCACGCTGGGAGCACTGAAAGGGTTCATGGTTAAGTTGCCACCTGTTTGGCCCTCGAGCCCCTGCCCTCCATCTCCCCTGGCATTTCTCCTTCGTTGTGTCATTATTGACTGTGGAGTGCAGGGACTGATGCTGGTTTCTTGACAATGAACCCAGGCCCCTGTACCCAGGGGCTAAATTCCATCTCCTGGACCTAAGGGGAAGCTCCAGGAACGGGGAGGAACAGGGATGAAGTGGGGTTCTCCAGGCCCCTGCTGAGAGGAATCTCAAAAGGCCAGGAAGGCACTGGAGGGCAGACCAGGCCTGGAAGCTGAATGACATGCTCCAGCCATGAGCATCCTGGGGCCTCTTCCCTACCCCCCCACCAAAACCACCCCCCCACCTCCCCACTTCAGACGGAGCGTCTGCAGTCCGTTCTGCCAGTTCAGCAGCACATGCCTACCCCAGGGGGGCAGCCAGGCTGAGGTGTGCGGGACTGGAGCGTCCTCAGCCTGGCTCTGACTAGGCAGTGTGGGCACCTGGGCAGCTCTTTCTGGGCCGAGTTAGAAAGGCTGAGAAAGTCAGCTTTGGGCCCCAGAGTACACATGTAGGGGCGCGAGGGAGTGGAGTTGGGGAGAGATTATGCCTCTGACGGTGATCATTCTGATTCCTGGGAAGTGCTGGCAGTGAGGGACACGTCTGCCAAGCTCTCCGGGGCAGCAAGGCTGGGAGGGTAGACAGCCAGCCCACGGATGGGTACGGTGGGCTAGATGGGACTCCTAGCTGTCCCACAGGGTGCCGTCACCCAAGCTGCCAGGCTGTTTGTCCCTAGCTTGGGTGACCTGAGGCAGAATCCTGCCAGACTGTTTGTCCCAGAAAGAGAGCAGGTGAGGCCGAGTCCTCTGGGCACAGGGAGGACGGGAGCAAAGCACGGCCATTGTTGATGTCAGGCTTCTTCTTTAACTCTCTTCATGTTCAGCAAGTATCGTGTGGCGTCCCACAGGGGTGCCAGCCCCGTGCTGCACGGGAGGGAGGGAAGGAAGGACGCAAACACAGTACGGTCCCGCCGGTTGCAGCGTCCACCCTGGTGTGAGGCTGAGGTGCACGGGGTTGGTTAACTTCACTGTGGACGCGGTATGAGGAACGGTTGGGAAAGGGGGAAAAGATCCTGCCTGAGAGAAAAACTTGGCATTCACAGAATGGAAACGACAGGCTGAGAGATGGGCCCGTTGTGTTTCCAGGGCTGCCCAGCTCTGCCAGTTGGCTGGCACTGGCTCCCTTTCAGGCCCCTGCTAGCTGACCTGGAGGCCGGAGGAGACGGGCACAGGGGACCCTGCCCTTCCCGATAAGGGTGCAAGACCGCCTAACGCCAGCCTGGGCTGTGCTGACACACTGGGCTCCCCCGCCGCCCCCCTGCTGCTTCCAGGTCGGCAGCAGCCCCAGCCCGTGGCTAGGTGTCCTCACGTCTGCTTCACCTGCTCTCCCCAGAGAGCCTAGGGCCAGGCCTCGTGCCCAGCCCTGGCCTGAGGCCTTGGATAGGGTAGGACCTGGCACCCTGTCTGGTATTTGGGCCACGAGCTTTCAATGCAAGAGAGAGGGGACTTGCTGAAGGCCTCGGGTGGGAAGCTGCTCTTGGCCCAATGCCCACAATGTCATCCAGGTGGAGGCATGTTGAGCCGACAGAAAGGGAACCCGTGCAGCCCCTGAGGGGGTAGGGAGAGGGCCTTGCCACACTCCTCAGCTGTGGGCGGGCGATGAGTAGCCACAGCGGCCGCCACCTTGCCGGAAACATCTAATTAGGGGACAGAGAGTAGCACAAGCAGGGCCCAGCCAGTTCTGCTCGCTGCCGCTCGGTGCCGCCCAGTGATAGGCGCGGCGGCAGGACCACGCTCCGGGGGTGGCAGGAAGACGGGTTTGGCGGGGCTGGTGGGATGAGGCAACCGTCCCCACCCTGACGGCCTCACCTGCCCCTCGCTCGGGAAAAGCGGCACAGGGGCAGAGCAGGCAGGCCCGCTCCCTGTCCCCGGTTCCCCAGCACTGTCATCTCAGGGCTTCTGCGGAACGGGAGAGGCAGGCCTGTGAAACAGTTCTCCCCCTAAACCTGCTTAGATCCTCAGAACCCTCACCATGGACCCCACTCTCGTGGAGGCAGGGAGCCAAGGGTGACAACTCGTTTGAGCGCAAACCGGTTAACCCTCACCTGTTGTCACTCCTCCCTCTGCTGCTCCGTGTGCAGGCTCTGAGGCCCGGCTCCAGCTTTTGGGAGCCTTGATCTCGCTCTCTGATACTGAAAGACAGAAGAGGGTAGAGGTTCCTGTTTGTCTCTACCTGGATTGAGAAATGGAAATTGTTGTCCAGTTTTGAATTCTCAGCCAAGATCTCCAATAGCTGGTAATCTGGCATAAATTGAAGCTGCCAACACTCTGACACGCCCACCCTCTGGCAGCCCCCATCCCTGTACACAGACGGCTGTCACTGTGGGAGGATGGGGGGCGGGGGGGGGCCTCCGAGAGCTCCGGCCTGACGTCCAGCCGTCCAGGGCTTGGAGAGAGGCCAGGCCAGGGCCAGGTGCTGGTGAATCAACTCCCGGAATGAGGTGGCACATTAGAGTCCCTGGACGGACAGACAGACGGCGCCAGTGCCAGCAGAACGGGTTTGGGTGGCGGGCAGGCGCATTCTTCCCGTCAGAACTTTGTTGTGTTTGAAGGGGGCGAGAGCGGGGGCCTCTCCCGAAACTTGGGTGCCTTCATATTCGCCCATATTCGCCCTTCCTCCATTGGTGTGTCCTCTGCTTCCAGCCTTGCCCGCTGCATCCTGCTGGGGGCCGCCCCTCCCTTGCCCACTGTCTCACCGGCCGGGTGCTGCAGGCGCAGGGGGCCGCCTTCATGGTTCTGAGACCCTAAGTCAACCTGCTAAGTCCCTCTCCCTGAAGCCCACTCATCCTTTCCTTCCTGTGCCCCTCTTGATTTTTCCTTCTGAGGCTTGGAAAATGTTCCTAGCTTAGCCTCTTCAGGAGAAAAATACTGACCAAACTGTAACATTAGATTGTTTGCCTCAGCTCTGGGGGTTTGAGACTTGTCTCCTCTGTGTCACTCGGGAGAGCTCCCCTCCTGTCTAGTCAGGACGAGGGCCAAGCCTCTCCGGCCCTGTTTAGCGTGAGGTGTCTGCCGTGGGGAGCAGCGTGTCAAAGGGCTGCCGGTATTGCTGGTATCGCTGCAGCTGCCGTGCGAAGGGCGGGAGCCCAGCCCTCAAAGCGCCACAGCGACCAAGCAAGTGAGCGGTTCCTGCTCTGGGGGAGGCTTGCGTAACAGCTGGGCAGGCTGCCCAGGAGACTGTTAGGCTGCATCCACCTGCTGCTCCCTGACCTCCTCCCTGCCCTGCCCCACCCGGCCTGCTCACCTGCTAAGCTGGGCCAGCGGGAGTGGGGAGCCTGGAGCCCCAATGAGCTGCAACGTCAGGGACAGACCACCCGGAAGGAGAGAGGGGTTAGGACCACCTGTTCCCCACGGCCAGCAGCTAAATCTGCCTGGAAGAGAGGCTCGGAGTGGTGCAGACCACCGGGACCCTTCTGGGGCAGGGATGAGTCCCTGGGTCCAGGGCCTCCAGTGGCGCCCTTTGTCCCTGCAGGAGCATGGATGAGGCCTGGAATCCAGAGGGACTGGCCCAGGTGGGGCAGGCAGACAGCTCGGGAAGAATAATTGGCAGGGCAGCTTTGGTCCTCCCAGTTCCGCTAAGACACAAATTACTCAGCGGGCAGGCCTGTGGGCCGTGGAGCTTGGCTGGCGTCACCTGTAATTACCTTAATGGGGTGGGGGGAGAGAGGTGCGGCATGCAGTGGGCTGGGGGCAGCCCTGCTCTGCCACATGCCTGCAAGGGGTGGGGCAGCGGCTCCACGTTCCAGCCAGCTATCCGCCAGGGAACCTTCCGGAAATCCCGCGCAATCCCCTTTTCTCCACCAAGCCCCTCACTTGGCTGTTCTTCTCTTCCCAGTCAGCCTAGGCTTCTGCCCACCACAGCCCTACAGGGAGCCAGAGCCATCAGTGGCCGAACCCCCTTCTTGCCCCCTGGCTTTGGACATGAGCCTTCAGGACCCCAGCTATAGTGTGACCCCAGGACCCTGCGTGGTGGCCCAGCTGCCCTCCGAAGACACGAGCCGCCTGGCAGACCCACAGAGCAGGGACCATGGCTTCCTGCGCACCAAGATGAAGGTACTGACCCTCACGTTGTCTCCAACGACCAGGGGCACGTGTATCCTCCTGGGTCCAGCCCACGAGACGTGGCACAAATGAGACTTAAGCAGAGATTGGCCTTGGATCTGGGTCTAGGTTTCTGCAGAGAAGTGAACCTCACTGGAGCACGGACAGGGGTGGGAAAGAAGAGAAGTGGGTCGGAAGTGAGAATGCCCATGCGCTGGGAAGAAGCAGTGAGGTTCCAAAGACGCTTAACCCTTTGGAGTCCTCTCTGGGGGTTGTTTAGCTTCATTTCTGGTCTTGAGGGGAGGCACCTCTTTACACAGAAGTCCTAGGAGAAGTGAGGAAGCGTGAGCCTGGCTCTGCAAGCTGGCCTGGGCCTGCGTCTCCGCCGCCTGAGAGTGAGGTCTGGAGTCTGCTCGGTGGTCGACTCCCTGCGCAGGTGCCCGGCGGCAGTCTCCGCCTCGCCCAAGCGTGTGCTTCCATCCCAGAGCCTTGCGTCTGGGGCGGGGCCTGGTGAGCGCCCCCTGCTCAGCAGCAGAGGCAGGAAGGAGCTCACAGGAATGCCCCTGCTTTCCAGCATGCAGCGTCCAGGCTGTCTCTGGCTGGGCCTGCATTCCTGAAAGCTCCGGGATCTGGAAGCAGTCATCTAGAGGAAGGGCTCCCGTAGAGCTTTCCTATGAGCCAAAAGACTGAAGAAAACTGGCCGTGCAATGCTGTTCCCACCTCTCTTAACTGCGGAGGCCACATGTTGTAACCAGAGGGGAATCGCCAAGACATGTGCTGGGCGGTTGGCCGGGGAGCTGACACAGTGCCCCTGATCACCGAGGGCCCTTCCTCCCACCCCTTAATCCCAGTGGCTAGGGAGCGCGTGGAGAGAGAGAGCAGGGGGCACAGGACAGCAGATGTGCCAGAGGAGCGAGTCCTGACCCCAAAGGGCTTGCTTAGCTAGCAGCAAGGCATTTACCCGGTGCCCGAAGGCATGGGGTGATGGGGTGCGCCCGGTGCCCAGGGAGCTCGGGAGGAGTGGCCAGTGACAAGGCCACCACAAAGCACAAGTAACCTCTGAACATTCACAGAGGTAGGGCGTTGAGGCCACGTCTCCACTTCTGAACAGCTGTTCCATAATTACAAAGAAAATGAAAAAAGTTTATAAGCAAGAGAGTCATCAGGGTGGCAAAGGGACTCAGACCGGACCACGTCAGGCTCAAGGAAGGCCAGGGGCGGGGCTGGCCTGTGAGGGGGCTCCGGGCTCCTAGCGGTGGCCTCAGCCTGGGAAGGCTGCACGGAGACCACGTCGTGGGCATTCTTCCCTGTCCTAAGGCTTAGAATGGGGACAGAGGGCAGAAACTACAGAGAAAGACTTGGGCTCAGTGAAGGGAGGACTTTCTAACAGGTAGAGTTACTGAATCGGGCTGTTTCTGTGGGGAGATGGCCACAGATGGTAAGGAAGGGGCTGGGTGGCGGCCCTGCACAGAGACTCAGGAGCCCAACAGGAGGCGGACCTTCCTTCCAGCTCCACCACCAGACCTCTGGGAGCCAGCGGCACAGAGGTGTGGCCTCTGGGGTGGGCACCGCCCTCCTCACGTGGCTGGGGGCTGGTGTGTGTGTCCTCGCAGTCTGCCACCTGCAGCCCCAACTCCTGGGTATCCGTCACAAACCCCGTCCTCGCCCACAGGTGACGCTGGGGGACACTCCCAGTGGAGGCCTCTTCCCCTGCCACATCTGCCGGAAGGCCTTCGCGTACCAGCGCATGCTGAATCGCCACATGAAGTGTCACAACGACGTCAAGAGGCACCTCTGCACCTACTGCGGGAAGGGCTTCAACGACACCTTTGACCTGAAGAGGCACGTGCGCACCCACACTGGTAAGAGGAGCCCGCCCGGCGGAGGCCACGGCCGCGGCCGCCGTGCTGCTGTCCTGGGCCCTGGGGGGCCTGGGAGCTCTGGGCAGACGTCCTCCGCGGTTTGCTGGGGAGCTGGAGTCGGGCGGGCCTCCGGGCGCTCCTCTGCTGCGGAGTCGGGTCCCTGACGCCGGCACTGCCCTCCCCGCAGGTGTGCGGCCCTACAAATGCAGCCTGTGTGACAAGGCCTTCACACAGCGCTGCTCTCTGGAGTCTCATCTCAAGAAGATCCACGGCGTGCAGCAGAAGTACGCATACAAGGAGCGGCGGGCCAAGCTGTACGTGTGCGAGGAGTGCGGCTGCACATCTGAGAGCCAGGAGGGCCACGTCCTGCACCTGAAGGAGCGCCACCCTGACAGCCCGCTGCTGCGCAAGACCTCCAAGAAGGTGGCCGTGGCCTTGCAGGACACCGTCACCTCCCTGCTGCAGAGCAGTCACCACCTCTGAGCAGTGGTGCCCTGGCTTGGGCAGCCCCGAGAAGGCGAGGGCCGCCTCCCTGCCGCCCGGCCAGCCCGCCCTCTGCGGCCTCCTGCCGGAGCGCCGGTGACCCGGCGCGGAGCCCGTGGGCACGCGTGCTCACTCGGGCCGGTGCTGACCTCTGCTCGCATTTGCGTCGGTGTTTGGGGGGCAGAGGCCACTCTGAGCCCGGGCAGACATGTGTAACTGTGGGACGGGGCGGGGCGGGCCAGGGCTGCCTTCGATTTGAAGCAGCTTGGGTCCAGAGACAGGACTTCCTTCCCAGAGGAGGTACATGAGGGCGATCCTGTTGTCCTCTGCTTCTGGAGCAGCGGGTGGATGGGGGACTGCTGGTCCCCCGTGGACGGCAAAGTCAGGCGCCCCGGCAGAGGGGACCCCTGCAAACAACAGCCGTACAGGAGCTGGTGGCGGCCCGCCCGGCCATGTTCCTCGCGCTCAGGGCTGCAGGGGCGCTGCAGGGTGCTGCTCTTCGACAGGGAGATGCACGCGTGTGCACAGCCGTGGACGTGTGCGCACGCGGAAGGCCTTGCCATATATCACCTCATTTTTAAGAAATCAACTACAAGGTGCCAAGGAGGTTTTATTTCCTTTTTTAAAAGATGACATATGTACAGATAGTAATATATTTTTGGTGCCGATGGCGACTGTTTTAAGAGAGGGTGGAGCTGGCTTTTCTCCTCCCCACGCAGTTCTATTTATCCTGGACGTTTCACGCCTCCTCTGCGCCTTGGCTCTGGGGTGGCTGCCCTGACCCACCCCTCATACCTCCTGAGATATTTAACCTAAGACTTTCCTCCGGCCCTGCCTGGAGGAGGCTGTACTGCTCTCTGTTCTCCCTCTTCTGCCGGGACAGCCGTCACATCTTCTGCTCTTCCCTCTCCGTGTCTCTCCCTCCCTCCCACATCCTTTCAAGGCAAGGGTGACGGAGAGCCTCCTGATAACAGACTTTTTGCGGAACAACTCACCATTCCGGAGATCCGGGGTGGGGGGTGTCCAGCTGCGGCTGCAGGGGTAAGCCGGTTGGGGTGATGAGTCTGTGATGCGCCCAGAGTCCACTGCCTGAAGTAACAGCAAGAGTGCGGGGCCAGGCTGCGAGGCCTGCTCTCTTCCTGGGAGAGTCAAAAACCCTAGGACGGGAACAAAAAAATTGGGACAGAATAATAACCAGACATATCAGAAACTTCTAGAGGGAGGACAGTATTAGATGGTTAACAAGTTACATTTGTAACCTTTTTTCTGAATGTTTGGCAAATGGCGAGGCTGGGTCTTGCGCACCTAAGGAGGGAGCCACCCCTGGGCTGGTTGGCTCCACCTGAGGGACTCTGCCAGGCTCCCTTGGCTTGGCTGGGCTTCCTGCTAAGAACACGAAAGGGGTGTGGGTCAAAAGGGAAAGACAGGCAGGGGCTGGAGCCAGCCTGCCGAAGAGCGAGAAGGCAAACTCGAAAGAGAACACAGAACAGAGCAGGTGAAGCCGCCCCGTGAAGCCAAAGCCCAGGCGGAACCAGCCTTGGCCTCTCCTGCCCGGAAAGAGCAGCAACCGCACAGTCCCCGGATGCAGGGAAGGAGCCTTCTCTGACCTCCCTCAGAATGTGTATGGATTGTTCTGGAAGGCTCTCATTTTAGTTTACTTTAGAGTCTGTGGGAGCTGCTGTATTCTGGAAGGTGTATAGCATAAACTAACATTCTCTGGAAGCCTTGTCTTGTTTACATTTCTGTATCCCTGTGTTCATTGCCTGTTCATTGTTCATCTCTGTGTTCATTGCCTATCTGAGGCAGTCACAAAGCTCTGTGCTGTCTGTTTTATAACTTTCCCCTCAACTATCAAAATAAAGAACTATCATTTTCTGTGTTTCTGCTTTTTTGTTTAATAGACCTCGTTTTTCCACCTGCAGGGAAATTAATCAAAACAATTGATGCATTCTAGTCAAAGCTTTACCCTTTTACAAGTAGCGATGGCCCTGGTCAAGACAAGAGCCTGCTAGATCAAGTGGCCTGCCCATGGTCTGGGCAGTCAGTGCCTGCTGACCCCAAGGCCACATGTTCTGCTCTTCACGGTGGCATCAGGCCCTCCCCTGGCTCCTGCAGCCTGACTGACTCGTGGCTCTCCTCCAGCAGGTGCAGTTACTTGGGGTCCAGTCTCTTCCCCACACCCTGCCAGGACCACAGGAGGAAGAGCCACATTCCTAACTAGTAGGGCGCAAAATTCCCGTCACTTCTGGGTCAGACACCTAGCTGTAGGGATGGTCACACCTGCACAGCACTTGTTCTGGGCCAGGCACACTCGTGTTTCATGCATATTAGCTCCCTTGACCTTCCAGCCACCCTACGAGATGGGGGCTGCTCCCCACACCCGGCAGAGAGGTTACGCAGCTGGCCCCAAGTCTCATGACTAACTAGTAGTGGACTGGGCTAGAAACCAGACAGCCTGGCTCAGGGTCTGTGCTCAGAAGCATGCGCACGCTGCCGACGGAGAGGCCGGCAGATGGCCTCGCACCTCTAGGCAACTCAAAGTAGAGGGAAGCTTAGAGATTACCTGGCCGTGCCCATCACCTACCCAGGATTGCTTGGGGAGACCTGATTACTCTGGGGACCCTGGTCCCCAAGTCCCAGTTCAGCGTTTTTCCATCACGCCCCCGCCAGGGATGGAGGAGGGGGCTGCCAGGCCTGGGCCCTTGGCAGATGTCCCGGGAGGCGTGAGAAGAGTTGGTAGTCCTGTTGCTGCGAGGAGAAAGGAAAACATTGACCTGACCTCTAAGGCTCCCTGTGTGAAGCCCAGAGGACTGGAAAGGGCCCCTACCCCTCCCTATGTCTCTTTAAATAGCCAGGCGCAGAGGATTTCTCTTTATCTCTAGAAGCCTCCCAATGTGAAAGGCAAACCAAATCCTATTTTTACATGTCCCAAGATGGGCAGAGCCCATTGTTGGGAACCCAGACGATTAACTGCTATGCAAACTTTAGGGGGAGCAAGCTTTCCAGGAAGCCAGGGATGGGGGTGGGGAGAGCGTCCCCGGGGCTCCCTCTAAGCCACTCCTCAGAAGGGCTCAAGGACGGGACACCACTCAGACAGGGTCAGGCCAGCAGTCACATTCTGAGGGCCCATAATGATCTCAGGACTCTGCAGGATGGGTGCCATGAGGGAAACGAGAACGGCGTGGGTGCCCTCCGCTGCCTGGGAAATAGGCGGCAGCCCCGCAGAGGGAAGAGATTAGCGCAAGTCAGTGGATAACTAAGGGTAAGTAAGTGGTGTGGCCAGACTACGAAGGCTGTGGAACCCAAAAAGGAGCCTTCTGCATTTGAAAGAACGAAGACTTCTTGGAAGAGGTGGGATTCAGCTGGGCTGGAAAAATGGGAGAGTCTGAATAGAACAAAAGAGGAGGGGAGGGCTTCCCTGGTGGCGCAGTGGTTGAGAGTCCGCCTGCTGATGCAGGGGACACGGGTTTGTGCCCCGGTTCGGGAAGATCCCACATGCCGCGGAGCGGCTGCGCCCGTGGGCCATGGCCGCTGAGGCTGCGCGTCGGGAGCCTGTGCTCCGCAACGGGAGAGGCCACAACAGTGAGAGGCCCACGTACCGCAAAAAAAAAAAAAAAAAGAGGAGGGGAGGTGTTTCAGGGAGGGAAAGAGGAGGATCCGACCCAGAAGAGAGGAGGTGTGGGCTCTGGGGCCACAGGGGGCCTCACCCGTCCCACCAACGATCCGACAATCCGGATGTTGTCATTCGTTCAGCCACACCACTGTGTCTTTTTGAGCCCTGCCCAGGTGCCAACAAGAACTGGTAACAAAACAAAATTCTGAGAGACAGGAGAGCTGGCTGGGACCTAGCAAGACATCCGGCCTAATGGAGGATGGAAGGAGAGTCCTATTTATACAGCTAAAGGCAAAGCAACCAAGTGCACGGTGGGGGGAACTTTACAGCATCAGGAAGTGCTGTGAAGGTTTATACTTTATATTTTTATGTATTTTCTAATGTTTCTACAATGAGCATATATAATTTTTACAATCAGAAGAAAATCGAGTTATAAAACAATTCAGGGCTTTTAGTCAACTTGAAGTTCAACACGTCACTGGGGATGGGGCAGCCCAAAGAAGCACTAGTGTGACCCCGGATGACACCAGAAGCGTGGCGTCAACAGCCGAGACTGCCCTCTGCCTGCCTGGGCCCGTCACCAGTTGGTGGGTGGCAGGAAAAGAGCAGTGACAGGGCTTGAGGCACTGCCCTGTCTGGGGCCATCTGTGTGGCCCTGGGCAAGTGACCTAACTCCTCAGTTTCCTCGTGTATAAAATGAGGTGGGTTCCCAAGTTCAAAGGCCCTTTCTGTTCTAAAGGCTTCATGTCTCTACGCCCCCATCTCAATAACACCCTTGAAGAAACTCACTGACAAACTGCAGCGGAGATGAGGAAGTGTAGAAGGCTGAGAAGGTGGCTGAGTGAGTGGGGAGCACCAACCACATGGCTGCTGGCTTGAAGCAGGGAGAGAGGCTCATTCCGGTGGACCCAGCGGGCAGAACCTGGGCGAAGAGGTGAGCATCAGAGGGGCACAGCCTCCACTGCAGGGAGCCCTGGCACAGCTTAACGTGGGGCAGTGGCTTGGGAGGGAGGCGCCCCGGGCATTGTCACTGGGGGCTGCTGGCTGGGGCTGGGAAGCCATTCGTTAGGAATTTCTACAGGGACTCAGTAGGGGGGCTGAAGGCTGGACAAAATACAAGACTTTCCAGCCATGAAATTCTAAGGGGGCAGGCAGTGGCCGTGACTTCCAGGCCTAATCCCCATTCCCAAGAAGGCAGAGCCTAGGTGAAAATGCTAGTGAAGAGAATGGAACGGAAAAGAAAACCCTGGAAGGGGTGGACCAGTTGGGAGGCTGGGCTTGGGTGGTGAAGACCTGGTCTTGGAAGGGCTCCCCTGGCCCGTCCTCTGGGGCCACCCAGGACGAGTCCACTCCCTCAGGCGGTGGTGGTCTCGCCTCACCCAGGATGTTCCGCCCTCTTCATGTCCAAGACCAATCTGCCCTCCGCTCCTCATGCCAGCCCCCTTCCCCAGTTTCTAGAGTCTGTTTTGATCTTCCATCCCTCACCCCGCAGGCTAACAGCTCCCAGCTTTCTGGTTCCTGTAACCCATCAGTCAGGCCCTCTCAGTCCTCCTCTGGGACGGCCCTCCTTGCCTGGCAGCCCCACCCCCTGGGTGGCAGGCTCGCTGACACGTGGGGACTCAGGTCCGACACCAGCAGGTGTGGAGATTCTGGTTCTGGGCAAGGGTGGTACATTGAGAATTATAATGTGTCTTCCAGGTTCTGTTTCCTGAACGTAAGAGCTCCGTAACAAGGGACCGATTTCCTTTGTTCCTCACTTGTTCTCTCTACATAAAATGAGAATACTTCTACCCTATCAAGCTTTCAAAGTAGAACACAAAGCAGGCGTCTAAAAATGTGTTCAGAGATGTGAGGGGTAGGGAGCCAGCTGCACTGTGTAACCGGCCTAAATCTCAAGCAGGAGTACCCGCCTGTCCTCAGAATTCGCCTGTGACTTAACGCTTGAGGGCGGCTGGCACGCCCCCTTCTCCCACCCTCTCCCACCACCGTGGAGAGGAAGCCGGGGCAGGGCTGCTCAGGGCAGAGAGCAAGTGAGCTCTGCGTCCAGGCTGCGGGGCCACACGGCCTGTTAGGTGACAGCAGCACGGGCTCGTTCCACAGAGTAAAGGGACCACGGCATTCAGGGTGGGAGACCAAACCGAGAGAGGCTCAGGGCAGTGAGAGATGCCGGGGTCATTTACTGCTAAGCCCCGTGCTCCTGGAGTCGTGTCACTGGCCCTTTATATTATTTATTTTTTTTTAACGTCTTTATTGGAGTATAATTGCTTTACAATGGTGTGTTAGTTTCTGCTGTATAACAAAGTGAATCAGCTATACATACACATATATCCCCATATCTCCTCCCTCTTGCGTATCCCTCCCTCCCACCCTCCCTAGCCCACCCCTCTAGATGGTCACAAAGCACCGAGCTGATCTCCCTGTGCTATGTAGCTGCTTCCCACTAGCTATCTATTTTACGTTTGGTAGTGTATATATGTCCATGCCACTCTCTCACTTCCTCACAGCTTACCCTTCCCCCTCCCCGTGTCCTCAAGTCCATACTCTACGTCTGTGTCTTTATTCCTGTCCTGCCCCTAGACACCGGCCCTTTAATAGCAGCTAATCACCGCTTGCATTTATTGAGCTTCTACTACTTGTGGTGGGCAGGCACCAAGCTGCGCTTCCCTCTGACATCACTAATCCCCACAACCACCCTGGGAAGTAGCTATTATTGTTCTTGTTTTTAGACAAAGAAATTGAGGCTCAGGGAGATTAAATGTCTTGCTCAAGGTCACACAGGCTCCAGTCTGAGGACTCTCAGGCTGGGGCTTCCGTGTCTCAACCCTCCATGATCATGAGATAGGAGAGCCTTTCCCTTCATGAGCACCTACTCTGTGCCAAGCCCCGTGCTGAGGCGTTGGGGATGCAGAGACGAACGAGGTCCCTGCGCTCCGGGGTTTACCTTGCGGTGGGGGAACTGCACTAGTGGGTGAGAGCCGAGGAAGCAGGAGGGGGCCCAGGCTGCCCTGAGCTCTGCCCTTGAGCAGAGATCTCTGAAGCTCCCAAACGACCGACCCCACGTCCGCAGAGTTGAGGAAAGAGAAAGGAGGGAGAAACCCTGACACGGACGAGCCTCCACTACCATCTGTCTGGTGACTTGTGCACTAGCCCCGAGGTCTAGACTCTCCAGATGAGGAAGCGAAGCCTAGACAGGTTAACAAGAGGCCAAGGCCATCGCGGCCACCTGGCAGAGCAACCACTGCACAGGCACCCGACTGGAGCTCCCC